TTGTTTCTTGGATAGATATTTCGGCTATAACTAGATTAAAAATATCAATTGATGATCAAGAGAAAACCACTTTTACATGCCCCTTTGACACTTTTGCTTATAAAAGATTGTCTTTTGGATTATGTAATGCTCCAACCATTTTTCAGCCTTGTATCTTAAGCATTTCAGTGATACGGTGGAGTGGTTTTTGGAAATCTTTACGGATGATTTTTTGGTATGTGGTAATTCATTTGAATTATATTTAGAGAATCTTGAAAAAGTCCTTACTTGATGTGAGGAAACAAATCTTATTTTGAACTAGAAAAAGTGTAATTTCATGTTCACATAGGGTATTGTTTTAGGACATGTAGTTTCTGCAAAGAGAATTGAAGTTGACAAGTCAAAAATTGATTTAATGGTCAATCTCCCTCCACCCAAGACTGTAAAAGATGTTCGATCCTTTCTAGGTCACGTAGGATTCTATAGATGACTCATTAAAGATTTCAGTTTGATATCCAAACCTATGTGTAATCTTCTATGTCAGGATGTACCATTTGATTGGAATGATGCATGTCAATTAGCATTGGATAGACTAAAAAATATGTTTATTTATGCACCAATTATGCAACTGATTGATTGATCTTTATCTTTTGAATTAATGAGTGATGCTAGTGATTTTGCAATAGGAGCTGTTTTGGGTCAAAGAAAATATAAAAAACCCTAATTTATTATGCAAGCAAAACTTTGAATGATGCATAGATAAATTAATCTACTACAGAAAATGAATTGTTTGTTGGTGTACTTGCTTTAGATAAATTTCGCTCATATTTGGTTGGATCCTCAATTGTTGTGTTTACTGATCAAGTAGCCTTGAAATATTTGCTTACTAAGAAGGATGCTAAACCACTTCTCCTAAGATAGATACTGTTGTTTCAAGAATTTGACCTTATCATCAGAGACAAGAAAAGAGTTGAAAATGTGGTAGCTGATCATTTGTAAAGACTGAATCAAGATATAAAGGAAGAATCAATACCAATCAAATAAACCTTTCCAGATGAGCAGCTATTTGTAGTGACAAAAGTACCATGGTACGCAAATATAACCAATTATTTAGCACATGTACTATTCCTTTTTATTACACTTGAACCGACAAATTTTTTTTTTTGAGAGAGGTATGCAATTTCTTTTGGAAAGATCTCTATGTGTTTAAGTACTATAAAGATCAAATAATAAAGTGTTGTGTACCCAATCATGAAATCGGTTAGGTCATCTCATTTTGCCATTCTGGAGCTTGCGGATGACATTTTTCTTCATTGAAAACTATTGCCAAAATTTTGTAGTGTGAATTTTGTTAGTCCACCCTTTTTAAAGATGTACATGTCTTTTGTCTAAACTTCGACAGATGTCAAATATGGGGAATATCACAAAAAGAAACATGATGCCTTTGAACCCTATTTTGGTTATGGAAATTTTTTATTGTTGGGGCATTGACTATATGGGACTATTTCCCCCATCCTTTGGACATTTGTAAATTTTGGGTATCGTTGATTATGTTTTTAAATAGTTAGAGGCAATTCCTTTTCAAAAAAATGATCACTGTCCGGTGATCAAATTTTTAAAAGAAAATATTTTATCTAGATTTAGAATTCCTCGAGCCATTATCAGCGATAGGGAAATACATTTTTGTAATAAATTTTTTGAAAGCCTAATGAAAAAATATTTGATTTCTCACAAGATATATGTCACTTATCATCCCCAAATAAGTGGACAAGCTGAATTGGATAATAGGAAGATAAAATATATTTTAAAAATTAGTAAATCCAGACCGTAAGGATTGGTCTTTGAGACTGACTGATGTGCTTTGGGCTCACCGTACTGCATACAAAACTAATTGAGGAATTTCTCCTTATCGGCTAGTTTACAAAAAATCATATCACTTGCCTATGGAATTGAGACACCGAGCATATTAGACAATCAAAATGATGAACTTTGATATTGACAAAGTAAATGCATCCCGCAAACTTCAGATTAATGAATTGGAAGAACTAAGAAATGAAGCATATGAAAATGCAAAGATTGTCAAATCAAGAATGAAAATTTTTCATGATAAGAATATTGTGTGAAAGTCTTTTGAACCCTCTGAAAAAGTCATGTTATATAATTCAAGGCTTCGTTTATTTCTAGGAAAGTTAAGATCAAGATGGACAAACCCCTACATTGTTAAACAAGTTTTTGAACATTGGGCAATTGAAGTTGAGAACCTATGAATAGGAAGTGTTTTCAAAGTGCATGTTCAAAGGATTAAGCCATATCATGATGGATTTATTCAAATGTGAATTCCATTCAGTTAATGGAACCAGTATATGTGCCCTGAAAAGTCTTTATACGTGTTTGATTGTAAATAGTAGCGCTAATTATTTGATGTTTGTTTTATAGATTAGGGTTTTTCACTATGGATTTGTCTCACCTCCAGATCTTATTAACAATTGTCTATAATTTTACTTCATAATGTTATACATTGGGGACAATGTTAAATTTAGATTGGGGGGAAGTAACAATCCATATTCATCATTGTGACCGGCAGATGTTAAAGAATCGGATAGTGAATCTTTTTCAAAATTTTCAAAATTTTTCAAAAATGGATGAGCAATTTTTTTGGTTTAGTTTAAGTATGCTGCGTACTTTTCCAAAAGGTATACATTCGGTGATCATAGCAAAATCAAAGATTGTTAAAAACGAGAAATTTTTGACAGTCAAGCAAAACTTTTGTGCGGAAAAAGTTAATTTGTCAAATGCCAATGAGCAAATCGACTCGATGGTTGTGTAAAATGCAGTCGTTTAATGCATATAAGAAAATATAATCAGTGTGCTAAACTAATTTCAGGTCGAGCATTAGATCTTCTTGACTAGATTAAGTATGAGTAGAGTAAGGATTACCTTGAGACGCCATCTTATTCCAGTCTCATGCTTGTAAGGTATGTGCGACAAGAGATTAATCGATTCACTAATGTCCTTGATTTAGAAGATTCTGATTAAAACTAATAATAATCAAAGATGTATAAATGTAAATAACTATAGGATGAATTAGTGTAATAAGTTAGGATTCAAGTTATTAAATAGTTAAAAGTGTAAATATTTGAATTTAAATTGATTTTCTATAACTGCAGGATAGAAAACTGAAGCTAGAAACCAGGAGAGTATCAAGGGACAACAACCAGCAAAGCCAAAGAAATTCCATATCAGCATTGTCCGGACGGTTCTGATAGTGTCCAAACAGTATTGTCCAGTATAAAAGCCCACATACGTGAAACTGAACAGTCTAGCATCTCCCTCGCAACAGAAATTCAAAAAATCAATAGATTCTTCACCTTCTCTCCTGAGATTTGCTCCACCCATCAACTTTTCTTGAATTCTACCCCGATTAAACACTTACCCATAGCCTTTTGCAGGTTTCTACCAATCAAAATTCCTTGAAACCTCATCTTATACGAAGAAAAAGGAGAAAAATCTGGAGAAATAATGTGAAGGGAATTCGAAATGATGAAGAAAACAATTTTTGTTTGCTCATGCATTTAAGGCAAATGTACGAGCGGACACATGGAAACAGGGGGATGAAGAACATGAGCGAGAAATGATTGCACGTTCGCAACATCGTGATAGTTGAGAAATGTCCCATCGTGCATATCTCGAGGTTAGTCCCAAACAACCTCGCTCAACCAAAGCAGAAATCAATCCCAACTCATATAACTCTACTTGACTAGGGAATTAGGGGGGGGGGGAGGGGCAATTAATGATACCTTAAAAGTGCCTAAGGCTGAGCTTAGGAACTCAGGTCATGCATCCCTAGATCGAGAGATCAATCAAACTTGGATGACCACGCAACTTGAGTTTAGACTTCCCATCCTTGCAGCTGCGTCTCAAGAAGGAAAACACAGAAGACAACTAATTTCCACTCAAGCACCACCCAAATAGTGACAAAGCGTGTATTTAGGTAGAAGAATCGCAACTGCCCCAACACCCTCCACAACCGTTGCATGATAGTAGCAACCGTTACAAGGTGAAGGCAAAGATCTAGTTATAGATCAAGCAGCAAAGCTCAGGATCAACTATAAATAAAGGGCATAACCCCCACCAGAACACACACAAGCAATTGTAATTAGAACAACACTTTGTAATCTCATTATTTTTTAATATAAGCCCTAGGAGCACGAGACTTCCATTGAAGAGTAGATTAGCCGAACTCCCGATCTGGTGAACCACTATAAACTCTCTGTGTGTTAATCACCTTTCCCTTGTCCAAACCCTAGGAGCCTAAGAGCTCTGACAGTGTTATTCAATACCCATCAATCTCTTATCTTTGCTCTCTTGTGTTAAATACATCATCACCTATAATGAAGAAAAATCGTGAGGCCAATTAAGGTGAAGTTTTCATCAAATAGGTGGTGTGTATTTATATATAAGAAATAAATATATACAAACAAACTAACTTGAGTTGTGATTTTGCTGGATAGCGAGAAACTAATCTGAGTCGTCGATTTCACCAAATTTGGAGATATTGGAGAAGATAGAGGGACATAGAGAGAGGGAGCAGGTGAGAAAGAAAAGAGGCAGGAGAGAAATATAAACACAACACAAGAGGGAGAGAGAGAGAGATAAAATGAGACATATGGTGTTGAATGGTTGGTAGGCGCACGAGTATACTAGTCCATGCACGGATAGAGAGGGAGAGAAAAGGCAAAGAGAAGGGGTAGAAGGTAAGAGGTGCCAAAATTAATATTTTTGAATTAATCTGAATTGCAAAAAAATTTAAAATAACATATAATTTTGGATATAACTTATCTTTTGCTCAAAATTAATCTCAGCCATAAAAAGTTCTGCTCAAAATTAATCGGAGCCATAAAAAGTTCGAGATAAATTTTAAAATTAAAATTTAGTTCTATTTTATTATATATATATATATATAAATTTAAGGGTTTAACAGGCCGGACCCGGTACTGCCATCCCTACCCGGGACCATCCGACACAGTTTTTCTGCATCCATTGTAAATTGAAAATTTCGGACAAAACCATGGACAGGGTAACTAGTTCTGGGTTACTGGGGGATGTGCGTGCCTTATCCTCAACAACGGTCAAGAAGCTGATACCCAATTGGCGAAGAACGAAGGCATCGGCAATGCCGACGGCAATTCTCCCCTCTTCTTCTTCCTCTTGCTCTGCCTTATTCCCAGTTGCCTATTCTGCAACTACTGCTCTGTCTTCGTCAATTTTGATTCGAAGTAGCAACCCCTTGTCCATCTCCACCCTCAGCAGAACAAACAGCAAAAGGGGGCTTAATCTTCATCTGGGTGTTCGAGCAATGTCGTCACCGATAATTGATAAGGAGACACCCGAGAGCCAACGGCCCCACACGTTCCTCCGAGACTCTGACGAAGAATTGTCGGGAAAATCGGATTCTGTGAGAGGTCGGTTCGAGAAGATGATAAGAGAGGCTCAGGATAAGGTCTGCTCTGCTATCGAGGACGTTGACAGAGGTGGAAAGTTCAAGGAGGACGTGTGGTCGAGGCCTGGTGGCGGTGGTGGCATCAGTAGGGTGTTGCAGGATGGCGCTGTTTGGGAAAAGGCCGGTGTCAATGTCTCTGTCGTTTATGGAGTTATGCCTCCCGAAGCTTATAGAGCAGCCAAGCCTACTGACAATGGGGACGTTAAGCCCGGCCCTGTTCCTTTTTTTGCTGCTGGGATTAGCTCGGTAATTCCACTGCCAACTATTAACTTTTCACTCTGTTATCAGTTGTTATTTTGATGTATATATGTTTACTTTCTTGAAAGTGTTGGGTGCCTTTAGGTGCCCATGTTTGTGACAATGCCTAAACACGTTTTGGCTACTTGTTGAACCTTCTAGTGCGTGTAACGAAATTAAGAATGACATTCGATGGAGATTTAGAATCGTGGACCTTTGAGTCGGGTAAACAAAGAATGTGGAATTAACTTTTTTCTTCAGCTCTTTTTTAAGGATCTTCATGTTGATGTAGATCGGTGAGACCACCATAACCAAATCTAAATATGTGCAGAAAAGCATCTGGCTACTTACTTTTGAGAGTGGAGAAAGTAAGGGTAATTTGCCTATGTTGCATGTCAACATTGATGTTCTAATTGTAGAGGATTCCTAAATTTTTTTATACTCAGAAGCTCACATGTTTGAGTGCACTGCCTCTCTCATTTTTATGCTCAGGAATTAATTTTGAGGTCCCTCCCTTACTCTCCAATATGTTTTCTTTGCTTAATGTCTGCTTATAACTTCGCTTGTACATATTAAAACCCTAATTGTTGAATGTGAATAGTTGATGCCCAAAATGCAGACTAACATTGGTGGATAGATGGGACTTTGGACATACCACTGCAAAATATAAGCTGTTGATCCTTGTTAATGAGTTTGTGAAGTGGTATTTCTTCTTGTTTTTTCAGGTTTTACATCCGAAGAACCCTTTTGCACCAACTTTGCATTTTAATTACCGGTATTTTGAGACTAATGCTCCAAACGGTATGCATGTGTTCTTTAATAAAATTCGTGAAGCTCTGCATTGGTTTAGTGTGAATTTTGATGTTTGACATGCACATTCAAAGCTTGTTTTTTTCATAATGATGTTTCCTATTGGTTTACACAGTCTAGTAAGAAACTTGTAACTGAGATGCACTGATATATGCAGTTATTTACCTAAACTTTATCCAGACACTAGGTTTTGAGACTGTCTTAATCGGAAGATAGTTAGCAAAATACTGAATGTAAGAATTCTTAGATAGTCTAAATCAAAAATTAGTTAATTCCGTGAATCATAATTTAAGTTGCACGAATTTAAGTTACGATTGCCTTTAACGGGGGTTTCCTTTTTCCCTTGATAAGTTCCATATCTGTCATTTTTTTTGATATCATAATCTTGGATTCTATGTTTGATTTGACTATTGAACCATAGAAGGCCAAGAAAATACGATGACACACACAAAAAACTGACATTCAATAGTTACAGCTTTTTTGATAAGAAACCACGTTTTTAATTCGATAAGAATTTTTTTTTTCTTTTTGAAAAAAAAAAAAGAAATCTTACAGAAGTGTTGGACAAGCTGTCCAACCAAGTACAAAAAGGTGGAACCGAAATTAGGAAAAATACTGAACAACATTGGCCAATAGAGTACGCAACTGCATTTCAATCCTGATTGACAAAAATGGTAAATCCTGAATTCTTTTGTAACCGACACCCATAAAGGCAAGAACTTTATTCCCTCTAAATAGGCATCCATGGACTCAACTTTTCAATCAATTCTACTACTACTCTCCAACCAAACAACCCAACAAATAATCGTATTTGCTCAACTCCTAAAAACTGAGGCCCTTTTATTCTTCCCACGACCACCATAATCCTTCACACGTAAGAAAACTCCCCAACTGCTTAAGATTAAGAGTTAAGACTCTTGGGGTATTTTACCTATCATGTGCACTCAACTCACTACTTTAGTTCATAATCCTTGCAACGTTCTTGTTCTTTTTGATACTATTGCCTGTTGAATTATATTACTCCTCCATCCAAGTGCATGCAATGGCCCTTGCTTTGTAAGATTGAGCCACCTTAAATGCTTGATTGATGTTGGGGCTTGCAATCATGAATTATCTTGCTGCACTATATATTCTTATTGTTTGGCCAACAAAGTAATGATAAAATTAGGTAGACCCTATTTTGTATAGATTTTGTTGATAACACTTATCTATCTTGTAGTCACCCATATATAAGTGCATGTATATATATTTATATATTGATGTTTGCATAGCATGTTGGCTGATATGAGCAGAAATAGCAAACATATTTTCTCTTTGAAGTCTGTTTGTAACATCCCCTCCAAGGGAATCAAATCACAATTGCAAGAGAATATGGAATTATGTACAGGTGTTGGAATATACATTACGATGAGCCATAAGAAAAAAAATACAATTATGGAACTTGTGAAAAAAAGTTGGTGCAGTTATCTGGAGTTTTTCAGCAGTCATGGACCTTTAAAGTTCAGAATAATCAGGAAAAAAAGAAAAGGAAAAGCAGCAAGAAGAGTTGGCAGCCTAGTAGAAAGAAATACTTAACTATGCATGTAGGGGACATAACATGGACAGATCTGTATGCCAACATAAGTGAATAAGGCAGGAAAGAATGATGAGGTTGTTCCACTATTATATTATATTGTATCCTTAAAATCAGCATGACAATCATTGATTTTGTTGCGACTCCACCTGTAAAAAGAGAAATTAATTAGAATTTTTGCGTCCCACTTTAACTGCACTTTATACAATGAAAGTGCGCACAATACTGCCCATTGCATAAAAGCTAAAAATTGAACAAAAGGAATCATGTGATCTCGTAAGCCTCTGCCATACAAAAAATATGTAAGGAGAGAATTCAAAATCATATCAAAGCAACGGTTTTTGTCCCCAAAATCTTAATTACCCTCCTATAACCTGGAAACTTTTATCCTTCCAACTATTCTTCAAGTGAACTCGGTGTCACCTATAATTCTAGATAGAGACTAAAGAAAACTTTATGATTCCTTATAACAGTATGATGGATCAATGGGTGACTACTGCTCTACTCTCCTTCTATGTGGGACAAGCATGGGGTCTAAGGCTGTGATGAAAATGGACTCCTAAGGGCTGTTTGAACTCTGTTTTAGGTCTAAAATGATGTAAAGATGTTTGGTTTTAGGTTTTATAGATGATATAACGAAGGTGTACTGGTTTGGGATTAACCAATGAATAGTGAACAAGGATGGCTTGAGCCGTTTTAGAGGCCTTTCTTGAGGAAAGTGCTTGGTAGCAAAATGGACGTTGTAATTGTGGGATGATGGACAATAATATCTGGTGGTGGGATTTTGGAGGCTTTTTGATGCACAATAAAATTAAGGAAAGACGAATACGAGGAAAAAAGATATTCTAGGAATCACACTTCACGACGAAGAATGGAAAGTCAGTAAAGCTTGGGCTAAAGGTAAGACTCACAATTTGGCCTGCGGTCTAGTGGGCTGCCCTCCTCAGCCTGATAGGTAGGTTCAGTCCATCTAGCCTCTGGTTGGTCAGCACCCATGGGCACCTAGTCAGCTCTGTTCCTTTGCATAAGATTGTTGGTCGTCAGTTAAAGGCTGAACATTATTTGCAAAGCATCTTCAACCAACAGCTTCAGCCAACTGAATAACCAATTGTTTGGGCATATGCGGTATTTATGCACCAACTTGAGGGGAAGTGATTGAATATCTAGAGAATTACGGTGACGGGCATTCTTGTAATCTCATGATACATCTAATAATATAAATAGAGAGCAATGAGGGACTGAAAATGAATTCATTCCACTTATTTCAAAATCTTGCTCACTTCCTCTTCTTTGATAAGAAACGAAGCACTTGTATTCAAGGATTGAAATATCGTTTCGAGGTACTGTTTCGCTCAGCTAAAAAATGGAAACGTTTCGGAAACATAAGTGGAAATAGGGGAAAAAATATAGAAACATATGGAAACAGTTGAAAACATAAATATAATCTCTTTATTTATAAATATAAGCTTAATAATTGATTGATTGAGTATTTTTATTGGGTTAACATCTATTTATAGAAGATAACATCAAGTTGGTGGGGAAAAAAAATAATTGACACAAAGTGGAAATCACTTCAACTAGTTTCAAACACTTAATTTTCATCAAACAAATTTAATATTTGTATGCTATTAATATAAGATTACTAATTGAAATTGCCATCAAATTACCATGTAATATTATTTGATTAATATTAAAATAACGGAATAAATAATTTTTATACACCCAAATATTTAATTTTAGATATTTATTATACCATAGAATTAATTGCAAATATTTAAAAAATAAGATATATCGTTAATATAACAATTTAGTAAATAACCATAGTATAAAGAATATAAGAAACAAAGAGGAGGGATTAAATTTTAATAAAAAGAAACATAGAAGGGGGGTGGTTTGATAAAAAAAAGGGGTTGGTCTGAGAAAAAAAAACAAAGAGGGGTGAGGGATTAAAAACAGAATAGACGTCGACTGTTCTCAACAAAGCGAGAGAGAGAGGAGAAGAAATATCGCTGATGCTTCACAGAGAGAGAGCGCGAGTGAGAAGAAGAAGGGAACAAGCGAACAACTAGGGCAAGGAAAGGCTAGATCTGGGTTCTCCATCCCAGCTCTGCAGAGAAGAAGGAAGAAAGAGAAAAAAAAAAACGTACCTACATGCCCAGATGTGAACTTGGGGAGTGGAGGAGGCTGGATTTTTGATTTGTGGGACGGTAGGAGTGGAGTTGGGCTTGGATTTGCTCAGATTTTGGACTCAAGGACTTCTAGAAAGTATCAAGGATCAAAATATTGATTCGAAATGGTCGAAGCATCCGAAACATTTGCGTTTCTAAAGAGACCGAAACGATGCAGTGATAAAATTGAAATTTTAATATTTTGAGGTATTCCAAAATATTTCGAAATATTTGTTATATTTCAATGTACAAATGCACAATTATTTTGGAATGTTTTAAGGTATTTCAAGATATTTTAGTATATTTCAACCAATGTTTTGAAAAAATAATTCTTAATTTTATTTTTTTGATTATATTTTTAAAACGGGCCGAAACTTTTTCGAAACACGTTAAAATGTTTTCGTTTTTTAGGTAACCGAAACAATGCACAAAAACGAAATTTTGTTCCTTGGTAAGTAGTTCTCTCTCTTTCTCGAAGTGTGTGTCTCTCCCTTCTTTTATTGGTTTTTTATGTTGTTCTGAGAAGAGGACAATCGGAAGAATCTCTCCTCTTTTTTGGCTTGAATCTGATGTTGAATTGTTTTAATTTTCGACCAAAACATCATTGTTTTGACCGAAACAGTCGAAACATTAATGATTCGTTCGAAACCTTAGAATTTTAGTTTCAACCCTTGTTTCGTGTCGGTGTGTTGAAATTTTGAAACGTTTCGGGCTTGTCGACACGATATTTCGATCCTTGCTTGTATTAATAAAAAAATAAGAATTACATCAAAAAGGTTGGATAAGAAATCAAACCGAATGGAAAAAGAACAAACAAAGAAACAAAATTACATAACAAACTTATAAATCACAAATCTCTGCCCATCCCGCTAAAATTGCAAAAAGTGAAATTCTTTTGAAATCCTTGGAAATTGACACCCAAAATGAGGCTAAGAAATGAATACTCATTCAAACATACGACTTAGTCTTCAAAAATCCTTGTATTTGTTTCCTTCAAAGTAACCGAAAATGTAGCAATAATAGCATAGTTCCTAAGAGTCGCACCTTTTTCAAGCCTTTGAAAATCCCTTATATCTTTAATAAAAAAGGATAGGGATTGTCACGCCCCGAACCCAATCCTCATGGATCAGTGCGCGAACTACAATTCCATCAATTTCACCCAATAAGAGCATTAAAACCTCAAAATTCATCTTCGAAGATTAAAAATAATTAAACTCATTGCAATCTCTAACTATTGAAAAAATAAATAGCTAATATTCCTTAATCCTCAATCGATCTAATTCCTTAATGCCTTTTACTCTGTGTCAAACCTAACCTACACCTGAGATGGGGTAAATGGGGGTGAGTTTGGGAGGCCCAGGAAGCAATTTACAATATAATATATGGAGTCACAAAGTCACACGATAATCAAATAATCAACTGCAGAATCAACAAATAAAATGAGCATTTAACATAAATCCCTTCATAATATCTTAGGAAATCCCATGATTCAATTCAAATCACTCATGGCTTCGTACTTGGTTTGTCTTGGCTACATACTAGGCTCTACTCGATACATACCAATCTAACACATGTCCATTAGGGCCACAATCACATCTCAAAACCATATATGTTACCGGTATGTGCCAATAGGTCCCAAGTACTTCACCCACAAAATATTTTCTATGCAACAAATACAAAGACCCATCAAACGAAAGCCCAAACAAACATTACAAGTCAATGGTTAAACAATGGATCACAATACAATGACGATAGCAATAAAAGGACTCGTTGTAAAGAGATTTAGACATGGATGCATATTATGAGATAAACCACTTACCAATTCTTAATTAAATCTGCTAGATGTGAAGATCTCGCTGCCTCGAACAATCACATAACATTTCGTCTCGATCATCTATGATCTAACCATTTGATTTCGACTGTTAAATCCCTAAAATAATATTTAATCCAATTAACCAAGCGAAATTAATATAACAGTCATGTACTTTACAAGCAGAGACTTATAGCACTTACCCATGCACCATAATCCAACTCCTCCTCCTCTTCTTTTCTCTTGCTTGCTCTCTTGTGGCGGCTACTTCCCAATTCCTAGCCTAGGGCATTTGGTAATCCTTAAGTAGTGACTTTATACCTACTAGGTATAAAGTTTTGCAACCAACGCTTAACTCCCCATTATAACATAAAATTATATTTTACTCCCCACTCTCATTAACATCACAATGACACACTTGGTTTTTTATTATTTTTATTTTTTTAACAACTTAATTAAGTTACACTCACTTGATGTGTTAATCAACAATTAAATATTCATTATATATTTGGTTTGGGTTATTAAATTTTTCCCTCCTTAAAAATAAATTTCGTCCTCAAAATTTACTCTCTCTTAATGTTGGCCTAGTGGCAGGAGAAACACTGCATGCCCTTGAGCTAATCTAGTCCTAAGGGCATGCCCGACATCCAACCCATCAATAGATCTCAATTCACAATACTTGACCAATGGTATAAAAGCTATGGTAGCTAACAGAACATGCTAAATAATCTAAAATATTAAATCTTCATATTTTAAATAATCAATACCCTTAAATTCAGATACAACTTGACTACGTAACATTTTCACTTTACTTCGTCTCTTAATATATAGCTTAAATCTCTTGAACTCTTTTCTTGAGTTTTTCTCTACAAATCTAATTGTCTTCATTCTTTAATATCTGAAAATGTTATAGTCTACCTCTACCAGTTGGACAAGGCATACATTTCAAAATAACAGTTTGAAACTTTAACAAACGATTCATAAAACGATCTTAAATGTCAACCATTTCAAAGTTCAATAGCTTCAAACATCATAAAATTTAACAATCAAATCATCACTCAATATTCTTTAATGGCTAAGGCCATATTCAACCGTGACCAGTTCTTAATGCCACATGTATCTCCCCCATTGGCTGCTAGGTCCAAATGTCACATGATCCCGTGTGAGATCATGCCCCAAGTCAAAACTAGATCCTAACCAATGTATCTCCCCCATTGGCTACTGGGTCCACTCATCACATTAACCCGTGTGACATCGGGTCGGATCATAGTCATTTGCTTTATCATGATCATGACATCCACATATTCACAAACAAAATTACCCCATAGGATGGGTTCGATCATAGCTATAATGAGAGTTAAATCAAAATATCATTTCACAAATAATTTCACAATCCATTTGAAAATCATATGACATGCTATCAATAATAGAAATCATCACTCAACATTCTTTAATGGCTATAGCCACATTCACTCGTGACCAAGTTCTTAATGCCACTCTACCACCTAGTCAATTCTGTTCCACTTAATCCCTCTTTCATGGCCACATATCTTTCCGGCTAAGGAATGAGAAATCTTTCTCCTGT